CAGTCTAGATCTAAGCTTCAAATTCGAATGAATAATTTTCGAGATACAAACATACTCAGAAAAGAATTATTCTCAACGTATTAATATTCAATGTAACTATCAAGGGCAAGGAATCCTTCTATGATACTGTAAATCACCTCTTATATGACTTAATATTTGTACTAAAGAAATTTCTTTTGGTTTATTTGTCCTAGGCTTGATTTGCTCAAAACTGAAACTGGATTATTAAAAGAATTATTTTGGAAAAGAACTAAACCCAAACCGAACAGATTAACTATTGTTCCATTCTATCGGGAAATGGGACTTTAGCCATTGTTTTCTAGTTTTCCCCATTAGACTTTAAAATTCTAGAAAATTCGGACAAATTATTTTTCGATAGAATAATTAGGACATTATTTATCAAACTTTATTTGTTTTAAGGAAAAATGTGATAATACAAAAATGTGAAGTTTTATTAATATTTAAAAAAAAATAATTGTTTTCATGCAAATAAGCAAATGTTTTCTGGAAAAATTCTCAAAATAAAGACGAAATTGAACAAAAGGAAACGTAGCATTGAGAACTGATGAAAAAAAAAATTTAAAATTAAGGATATATAAATGGAAGAGTTGATTAATGAAATAATGTATTGAGGAATTAATTAATTTTTACTTACACACTTTCCCCTTAATCGTGAAAGTTAGCAAAAGAGTCTCCAAATTTACGTTAAACTTTCCAGCGGGACTTTTAAGGATCAGATTGTTTTTTTATTAAGCAAAAGACGGAATTTACGTATATAGCACATTAAAAGCCTTAAAAACTTTGTTGCAGTTTTTCACGGTGCATCGCTATTCTTCGTCCGTTTTCAAATAAAGTCTCATATTGTAGTAATTAAAGCAGTTTTTTTTTTAAAACGTCAGGAATCTAAATTGCAGCATCTTTATTATCGCTACAGATGTTCTGATATTTTATTAAAGAGAGGCATCTAAGATCATCTCCGAGTATGACCAGAAATACATTCGAGATTAAAATAATTATTCAGGTTGTCGAAAGCAAAATTTTTGGTATCTAAATTCTAATTTGAAACAAAAGATTGCAACTTTTTTTTTTTTTTTTTTTTTAAATGAAAAAAGTGACCTTTGTTTGAAACAGCATCACTAGTGCTAATAAATCTCTTAATTATATTTTTTGAGCTATTGTATTATTTTTCGGTCGGTCAATTATTGTAACTAGTATCTAAAAGAACCCTTCGAGGGAATTTTTTCGTGCCAGTGGAGACTCTTAAGCTGAAGAAGTTGCATGTTTTCCATGCCACGTGATCTAGAACAAAGCATCAAGGCTAAAACGGACAATAGGGAAAGTGGAATGGAAAACGTCTTCATCGAAGTGTTAAAGGGACAAGGTCCTCCAAGAATGATAATGTTGCCATCATTTTTTAAGATTTTGAGTAGTGTTAGCGTAACAGCGGATAAGTTGATGATGCTTTTTTAATGAGGCTGTCGTTTCCACTTCTGCTGTCATTTCGGTATTTGGGTGGCGACGCTGTGGACACTTTGGTGACCTTTTCTCTTCGTGCATTTTTGCGCATTTTGAAATCGTCTATTTGTGCTAGAATTAAGTAATGAAGTTTCCGCAAGATAACGAATAGGGTATTAAAAACATTTGTTGTGAGTGAAAATTAACAAAGCTATTGTTGTTCTCAACATGCTTTTATTCATTTGGCTATTTATAACATAAAAATGTGATTTAAACAGCGATGTGATGTCGCAAACACGAATGAGACAAAAGCATAACATTTTTTTAAAGTATTAGGTGAGTTAAAAAACGATTAACGAAAATTGTAAATAATTAGAAAAGCAAATTAAAGGCTTACAGTCTCGGTTACAATAAACTTTAGATTCCAGTCATACACATAATAAATACTGAAAATACCGTTGAACGCCACATTACAGCAATTAAATAATGTTTCGGCACGGTTTCATTATTTATATCATGTAATGTGTCATAAATACCATTTGTATCCAGAATGACAAACTCATAAATATTAGTTTTTTAACTCGATTTATTATTCCCTTCTGCCATCATTCGTCGTATATGTAATATTATGATTTCAAGTCCCGTCTTGAAAAATAAATGAACTTTAAAATAATTCATGAAATAATTCTTATTTAACTCTCCAAGAAATAGAGTCTGCCATATTTACTTATGGAACGTTGAGACAAATATGTATCATTTATTTTCTTTCCGTATAACTTTTAATATAATACACATTTATAAGAAAGTGATTTGTTTCACGTTTACTTTAAAAATTGATTTTAGTCTTTTGAAGATTAAAATGGTATTTTTTACAGTTACTCTATAATTATTCTTTTAAGCTCTTCCATGAATTAAAAGAATGATTCTTTTATTTATTAAAGCCATTATTTTAATTCTTTCACAGATTGAAAGAATAATTTTCCCTGTCACTTAATCATATTTTTTCCAGCTTTTCTTCAAATTAACAGGAGATTTCTCATTCATGCTTAAATTTTTAAAATCATATTCAAATTTTTCTATGATGAGGAAGGATGATTGCTATGATAAAAGAACGATTAAACAAAATGAGAGAAACTATATTGCAGGAAGCAAAATAATACAAAATGGTAATAGATTTTATAATCAGATATAAGTAACGTGCTCTGCAAATGACATGGATGTTCGAAATTAAGCCAGTGCTCAAGCAAAATTTCTCTTCAATAAGAATAATTTATTTTACTCTTATTTCAGGTTACTGTAATATGAAACATTTTCCACTTATTTATTTACTTATTTTGCACAGAAAATGAATAATATAGATATTCTATAATGAAAACAAATCAGGAAATAAAGCTGACAGTTAGTGACTTGGATATAAATTCTAAAACGCAACGCCGTAATGCTTATGTTTATTTCATTAATAATCGGTTTCATGGGTTTAGGAAGTATTTTTAATTCTCGAGCATATTTTTGGATATAGAATGCAAAATACTTATTCATAGTTGAAAATTTATAATTATAGTAATTTGGATGTGTGTGTGTGATTATGGCAAAGCCTCGAGGGCTATCTATAGTAATTTGGAAGTCGGATGCTTTAAAAAATTTAGAAAATATGGAAAAAGAAAAGTGTCGTGTATTATAGGTTTTATTTCGCCAAGAAAATACAGCCTGGTAAAACTAAATCTTATACGGCTTACGGTTTAAGATATTTCATTTATTTCACCCACAAAATTCATTTCCTCAAATGTCAATAAATATTATTAACATAACATTTGGCAGTGGTAGAAGTACTTAAATCTGTTTCCAGTGCCATATAAAGTATTTTCGTTTTAGAAATTATCTCTAAATATGCTATCTGCACTATGCTACCGTTTTCATAAAAAATTACACTATAATAATTAAATTCCTAATAATAAAATTTTTATGCAATGTATCATTTGAATTATACAGACAAAACTAATTCGTGGGTTCTTCTCTTTTTTAAATTATTTAAAAAATTATTTGTAAAGCATATTTTCATTAAATAATAACAGTTGGTATAATTATTATTATTACTGATGTTCAGAAATGTCTTCAGTTAGAGGTAGAGTTTGCGTTCTGATTTGAGTAAAAGCAAAGGAAATGTAAATATATACGAAAATATGAGTAAAAAATTCCTGATGAATCTACTATTTGAGATTTTTAGAATGTTGAGAAGTTGAATCTGAGTATGATGCTCAAAATGGGTGAGAAAAAAGAAGCGCATTTATGCCCTAAATGCGGGGTGAGCAAACTGTGTTACGAAAATTATCTTCTGATTCAAACTTTGTAACTTGATTATTCCTTCCCATGACAATTATTGTTAGATTAATTATTTTAAAAAACATTTTATGTGGACTCCACATGATTTCCTCACCACATAACTACATTGTGCGTCTATTAAATTACACACATTTTTTTTGTTGCACTTCATTTAAACTTATTTTATTTGAATAAGTTTAACTTAATTAACCGATTCCTTAAAGAAAGTTGAAACTGACATCAAAAACTGCAAATTTTGAAGTTAAATATCTCGTTATCATATAGGAGTAAAATTTCTTGTATTTTTATTTTTTCATAAGGAAGTATAAAACTTTCCCAAACGAAAGTACAGAAACCGAGACACCGTATTAAAAGTTAGATTTTCTCATTTGTCCAATTTTTTAAAATCTGAAATTGGTAAAACATGAATATTTTAATTATGTAAAACACTTCTGTGATTAGAAGTACATGTCTACAACCAACGATTGCGAAAATAAAGGCCGAGTAGGGATTTTTAAGCCGCATAAGGGGCTACTTAAATGCTGTGGATTGAAATAGAAAATGGAGGCGCACAACTGGATGTTATAGTAGTCACAGATACAAAATTTGAACGTTTTACAGCTAATCACTTATGCGAGATACGTTTGTACATACATATGTGCAGAGCGCGAAAATATCTATTTTCTATCCGTTTTGAAAGAGTTCTTTAATCTTACGTACGCACGGACGTCACCAAAAAAAAAAAAAAAACGTAAAAAAGGGATATTTTTGTTGAAATCGTAAAACTGAAATTTTTCGCAAATGAAATAGAAACATACCAATGACTTTTATATTTTAACTCAGTAAAAATATGCAGTGTTACTTTATTAAAGGTATATTATTTTGAATATTCACTGTTTACATCCATGCTCTAATCTTCTTCCTGAAAGTAATAAAACATTTTAATGTCAAGATGAACGAAAATCTATTAAATGAGTTTCGCTCTCTCTCTCTCTCTCTCTTTTTTTTTTTTTTTTTTATCTCTGCCATTTGAAATCAATTTTTCAAAACATTACTTAATTTCATCTAATTATATTATGCTATTACTTTAATGAGGCAAATGTTATATAATCTTCTTGTCGTGTCTTATATAATATTTTAAAAGTATTAATTCATAATGCAAAGGAATAATTGTTTAATATATTAATGTTAAACACAATTCTCTACCAAATACTTTCTTTTTACAGGATGGAGGAAGATACAACCCAACAGGTAAGTGCATTTTCAGGTATCGATTTCATTATTTCTGTGCAAACATTTATTTATTTATTTTATACGTGTGAATATAACTGAACTAACGCTTACGATTAACAAATGGCTAAATTTTGAACAAGAAAACTTCAACTTTTCTTAATTTTGAATCAAGCATTCAGAAGTGAATCACGATTTGCAGTCTGATATCTGTAGAACAATACAATTTTCATCAGGGTAAGTGAGCAGTACTAATTTTATTTTAGTGTGTAATTTCATTGGCATTTACGAAATAACGATAAAAATACTAATTCCGAAGTCAAACAACAAAAATCAGCGTTATATTCACAAAATTTTCACAGTACTGAAGTTGGATGTGTTACGTGTGACCAGAATGTCGAGAAACGGAAGAGAATTGCAAGTCTCAAGTTCAAAAGTGAACTGAATAGCAGGATCAATAGAATTCATTGTTGAAAGAACTTTATTTAAATCATCTTTATTGCCTTCAAACAGGGTAAAAATTTCGTCTACGTAGCGGAACATTGCCGGGAAGTTTAAAGTTTCAAACAATTTTGATTCATAATAATGCATGTAGATATCAGCCAGGATGGGACTGAGGGGGCTTCCCATGGCTAATCCCTCAGTTTACTTGTAATATTTATTTTGGAAAACAAAATGTGTTTGTTTCAAACAGAGTTGAGTGAGAGAAATTAGCTCATCAATTTCGATGCAAGAGAAATGAAATTCACGAAGTCTGGTTTCTAGACATCTTAATGCACCCTCCACTGGGACATTGGTGAATAATGATTTTACATCAAAAGAAACCATGAGTAAATTACTAGGAGAAAAGTTTTTAACCTTTTTTACAAACTCTATTGAATTTTTTATGGTGTAAATGTTATTGTCTAATAGAGTGGAAAATCTAGAAACTAAATATTTAGCTAATGGATACGAGGCAGTACCTAAATTTGATACAATAGGGCGGAAAGGAATACCACTTTTATGAATTTTGGGAAGAGCATATAATCTGGCACAATTCGCAACAGGTGGGATAAGCGAATGTTTTAAGTTGCTTGAAATGATTTGCGAAGATTTGATCGCAGTTTTTATTTTGGATAAGTCCGAAGGTGAAGGATCTTTAGGGATCGGATTATATGGTCCTTCGTTTAAGAGTTTAGTGACACCATCGATGTAAGTGTTCTTATCCATGACGACTATCTGGCCACCTTTGTCGGCCTTTGAAATGATAATATCCGGGTTAGAATGAATTTCGCGCATTGTAGCTCTTTTCTCTCTCAGCAGTTAGATTTGGTTTCAAAGGTTTATTATTGAATTTCACATTATGAGCGATAAGATGCCTAATCATTTTTTTTTCTGTGAATCTGAAACTTTACTGAACTTCGAAAGCGTTTTTTCGATAGGAGCCAAAATCTTTGGAATCGAGGGTTTACAGGTTTGTGAGAAGTTAAAATTATATTTTAGAATTCCCTCTTGTTCTTCCGAAAGACTAACATTAGAAATATTAACTATTGGCTTGATGTTTACAATGGGAAGATTTTTTGAGCTACTTGAACTGGAAAACTGTAAAAGAAGTTTTACAATTCTTTTACAGTTTTCCAGTTCAACGATACTTTTACCCTGTTTGAAGGTAATAAAGATGATTTAAATATAGTTCTTTCAACAATGAATTCTATTGATCCTGCTATTCAGTTCACTTTTGAACTTGAGACTTGCAATTCTCTTCCGTTTCTCGACATTCTGGTCACACGTAACACATCCAACTTCAGTACTGTGAAAATTTTGTGAATATAACGCTGATTTTTGTTGTTTGATTTCTGAATTAGTATTTGTTCGGCGTGTTATTGTGTCTTAACGATAAAAATGTTTAAATTTCGATAATAAATTTGTTTAAAAGCTTGCTAATTTGCTAATAATTGTCATTTCGACATAAAATGAGTAGAGAGAAAATTTCAGGGATAATTTTTCAACTTCATTAATATTTACAAATTTATAATGAAGCAGTGACAACATATAAAGTAAATGTCAGTAAAACTATTTTCTTTTGGTTGGTTAAAATAAAGATTAGATTTCAGCCATTGTAATTATTAGTTCTATTATTTCACTTATTTTCATTAAAATAACTCTTTAAATATTTTTTATTTAAATATCCCTTAAATATTTTCACATCTATACAGATGGGTTTCTTTCTGGACTTAACTTAAGGACCTAGCGCTGGTGTTTTTTTTGTTTTGTTTGTTGTTTGTTGTTTTTTGTTTTCATCTGCAGTTGGAAATTTCACAACCCATTTTGATGGTGAACTGGAATCAATCTACCTTAAGCAACTTTCCATTCGCCAGAATTCCTTTAAGAGGGCTGTTATCCGCTCCGATTCAACATCTACTCTTCAGGCTTTATTATTGATACGAAATGTACAGGCGCGGGGAGATGGCTTTCCCCGCAAAACAGTTTTAGGGTTACCACAAAATTCCAAGGAAATGCAGAGTTGCCACATTTGGGGAGAAATCGCCCACTTGGCGACAAAATTGGCGATATGCCGGATGGAGAACCTTCTGGAACGAATTCTTACCGGTTTAGCCCTGAATATTCTCGAACACAAGCCGAAAGCTATATAAACCCTGCTGGTCCACAGTCAGTTAGTGTGTGCCTCGTCGAGAGTGCGAGATAATCAGTATCGAGTTAGTGTCTCGTCTAGCGAGTCGATCCCTGCGGAGTCGATCGAGTTGACAGACGGGCAGCGAGTGCTGAGTGGGTCGTCGAGAGCACCGAAAGAGTCTCGTGGTGTATCGCGGTTAGTGCATCATCGAGAGAGCGTGTTGAGCTCCGGGAACGACTGAACCGAAGAGTCGGGAGCTTGCTCTGTGTGTCGTCGAGTGCATCGCGAGTTGTAGCGTGGAGAGTCTCGAGAGTACGTAGAGTTCCGAGAACGACCAAGCAGAGTCGGGAGCTGTACTCTAGTGCTTTGCCGTGAAGCTGTCTCCACCGTGATAGCCTGATAACCTGGAGGCTGTGTCGCTGATCGAGTCAGCGTGTTTGTCACAGTAGTTCATCGACGACTGTAAAACCGTGTTTTGGAACTGTCCTGACGATACTGACCAATAAAGTGTGTTTCGATACTTCATCAAGTGTCGTCGTTATTCACTCCAAATCCACACGAACCCCGTGAAAGAAGAAAAAAACGTAACAACTAGTGTCAGAAAAGAAAAACGCAACATTATCTAATCAGGAGAATAAATCCTCCCCCTTCGAGCAGTATAGATCTCTCTAGTTGAAAAAATCAATGTAAAGTGCATTTCCAAAGGGTCTCCTTCCCCTGTGATATTGAGGGAAATGAGAAAGGGGACGTTTTTGAAAAAGGAGGTTGCAGTTTAATTCAGAAACCAAATAGAAATTTTGCTCTTTCATTCTTCTGAACTGGAGATTAGAAGAATCTTCAACCAGTCCTTTCATACAGTGTCTGATTACTCTTCCTGTACTAAATCCTGTACTTCCTGTACTCTTCCTGTATTGTTCTCATCTTGTTCCGGATGCTCCTAGCGCAGCTGCGGTGGCCACTTTTAGACTGTTGACTGGACACGACTGTCTTCTGTGCCCATTTATTTCGTTTTAATATTGTAGACTCTTCTCTGTGCGTTTTTTGTGTTCAACTGGACAAGATATGGCCGCTGCTCACATTGAAGAATGCTCCTTATTATCTGATTTTGATTGCCTTTTTCAAAAATATTGAAGAGCATGTAGCCTTATGGCAGGTTGGCATTTGATAAATGTATACATTTTTTTTTCTGGAAGTTATGATTGATGCAATAAGATCTGAAGTTTAGTTAAATAAGCGGATTCGGGAAATATAAGTAATTTCCTTGCAAAGTCTCACCTTCTATGGAAGCATAAACTAGTTCGAGACTCAATCTGAACTTAAGCGCTTAATCACTACGTCCGTAAACAGACAGACAACATCAGAACGGTGTGAAAAACCTTTTTATTATACTCAGTAAAATAAAATAACGGAAGGCAAAACCAGCCAGCATTTATGGCGTAAGTCAGAAAGTAATGAATTCAAATTAACTAAGCTAAGTAGTAAGTTATCCAAAAGTTACACAGTATAAATAACGCACAAGTTGGCTCAAACCTAAGCCGGCGTGACAGGTTCTATTGGGAAGAATAAAGGAATACAGCAGACAGACTGCTATCAACAAATTCAATTAGAAACGTGACCTTTAGCAGGCGGAACACGCTCTGATTAAACAGTCTAAAACCTTCCTTTAAATAATAATTTCCTTCCTCTTTCTCCCTGATTTGAATATGCACGGATAAAAATTTGCATTCTAACAGGAAAATGGAAAGCGAGAATGACAGTAAAGGTACTAAACATAAAATTACTGGTTAGATAAAATAAATAAATCTTTACATCCTGTTTCCATTTATTTAGCCTCACAAGAAACGTAAGACATGCGAAAAGGCTCTAAAATAAAGGGCTATGTTTTAGGATAATTAATTCGCATTAAATAACGGGCAATAAAATTTTGAACGTGAAAAATTATTAGAATTTGAAAAGCGAGATTAGAATTAATAATTGAAATCATTTTCTACAATTATAAAATATTCTAATTTCTTTTATTTTCTGCGAGACAAGATTTTTCAAATATAGTAGAAATAAAGTCAAACAGGCATCTTTATGCGAAGCACTGGTATTTTGCCTAATTATTTTAGAAAGCTTAGTGGAAAAAAATTGCATACTTTACAGAAAATTTTGTCTATTTATAGCTATTAAAATTAATTTTAGTTATTACTTATATATTGTTATCATTCCAGTATATGCATACTATATAACAAACTATCTTTACAACGGCAAACTGTAATTTTTAGTCTGCTGCAGACCACCAAACTGATTTACACCATGGAAATTAATGATTAATTTACTCCTGTAACGTTGAGGCACATGACAAGGTATCCCAAAACGTTGTTTATAGACCTTGCGTACTGGTCTATCAGACCATGACCAAGAA